GGTACAAAGCTGAAGAGGCTGTGTCTGGGGGTGGAGGTGAGGAGGGGTAAGGGTGCACTGTGATGTACATGATGAAGTTGCACCAGGCCGCAGTAAAACATAATGAGGAGAAGCAGTGGGAGACTCGCCAACCTAAGTATTTCAGGAAACAGCAGATATCTTCACCAGTCTGACCCTTGGTTAATTCTCTATCTTTGAATTTCGACATGATAAAATATCAAATAGAGCCTGAAAAGCTCAGTGCTTCTAACAACTGCTGTGTTTGGTGAAATATTCAGTTAACATCAGACCATTGTAGACTGATAACGTCTTTATCCCTGACACTGTTAAGGGCTTATGTCCTAGCAAACGGGTGCCTTGGTTCCCAGTAGCATTCCACTCAAGCAGGCCTTGGCCCTGACAGAGCAATCTGTGATGGCTATATTCATTGTTCATGTGCTCAATAGGCAGCATGGGGCGTGGGCAGCAGTCAGTGGGGCTAAATTTGTGCCTCTCTGCTCATTCCGGGGATATTTGTGACTTGCTCCTTGTTGACTCGTTGCACTCCTTGCTGACAACGGGTCTCTGTGTGTTACAGGCTGCTAAATCCAGCCAGCTGTATGCAATTAGACTACAAAATGCTGGGGATGTGCACACTCCACTGCAAAGCATCAAGTGGTGACAATGTGCTGATCTAGAGTCTATAATTATCTAAAAAAAAATGAATTAATTGTTTTAGAATTCTTTTAACAGGTTTGAAATTGTAATAACAACAAATAAGTCAAATCATCACCATGCAAGCTATAACAAGATGCTTAGAAAAATTAAGACATACTTTAGACTGATTTACACTGAGTCACAAATTATTTCTCAAATAAATGAAATCATTCTTGCATGAATACCAATAGATTAAAAGATATAATAAAAGATACATCAGTTTTCAATGTTTATCCAAAAATCGTGGCTTAGACGTACTTATTGTACAAGAGTCAAATAGAGGGATTAGCTTTCGTGAAATGTCTTTAATGTCTTCATCTTGCCCATGGCAGACTACTTTGACAGACAGAGAGACAGACAGACGAATAGGTGCTGGTTCATAAATCAGTGGCCACATCTTTCCCACAGCGAGATTCACTGTTGTTTCTAGGTAACAAGAACCCTCCTCCCTTTAACTCGGTCCCCCTGGACTGTACCACATTTACTCTAGGGTGGGTTTTGTGTTGCTTATCGAATGGAAGTAGATTTCCGTGTTAAAAGTGAGCAACATATACTATCGCGTTATAATTGTATAATATTTCTCTCTTAGTTAATGCTTATAATAGCCCAAATAGTTGACAATAGGTACGGCATTAATATTTACACTTTAGTAATAACCCCCTAGCGAAGCTTATTCAACATTTCCTCGAACTGTCAAAATCGGTTGTTGCCTTAAAAATACTTAGCGAGCTAGCTAGCCTCTAGCGAGTGGAGTCGTACTTCAGCTCTTCACTATATTTCAAAAGCGAAACGTTTGTTGCAGAATATAAATACTGAATAAGTTGAAGACCATCTTCCCGTATTGTTTCGAAGCGTGCGTACCTTCGCAAGCGAACTTTCGCTCTCGAGAAGCGCTTGGTGGCGACTGAAGTGCAGCTGGATGTGACAGGTTCGTCATCAGGTAAGATGCAGGTAGTTAGCTTAGCAGCGAGCACTCTGTGACTCGGGCATTTCTCTGCACATTTGTTACAGCGTAATGGTGAATGTATTGGCTCTTCGGACAGTAGAGGCGGCTAAAATGTTCCTTATAGTGCTCTTCCAGTATCATAAACATTATTCGCAGATGGGTGTTGTGTTGTGCTAGCTTAGTATCCTAATCACTGCCCAGTAAGCTGCACGGTTCAGTGTGAAGGTTTGTGGGACATGCTGTTTGCTATTAGTGAATTAGCTAAAAACCTGAAGCAATTTGTTGGGGAAATGTTTAATACAATAATTGCTTATTTATTATAAATTCCACAAATGCTAGACAGTCCTCATTACTAACCAGTTATCAGACACTCTGATTATGTGCCTCAGCCCGATTATAATGTTATAAAATGTTTATCATTTATTTATTTTTACAATAATTGCTCATTTATTATTAATTCCACAAATGCTAGACAGTCCTCATTACTAACCAGTTATCAGACACTCTGATTATGTGCCTCAGCCCGATTATAATGTTATAAAATGTTTATCATTTATTTATTTTTAGTGGAATTGTGATAAAAATGGTTTGGAGTTTTTAACACATGTAATTACTGCATGTTATTATTACTTCAAATGCAAACGTAAAAACACTAAAACGTAATATCAGATTAATATAGTAATTTCTATGGCATATATTGTATTATTCACACTATCATACTGTAGTTACAATAATATGCTTTGTATGATAAGAAGTATGCAAAATTAGCTATATAGGGTCAAATTAAAATAATATTATTGTGCAGATAATAGAAAGTAGGAATTGTAATGGAGTGGGTTGAGTATTTCTTGGTTGAGTTTGATCCTTTTTTATCTTTACTTTTGAACACAAAAGCCTTGCAGTTGCTCCAAAACACTGGTTGACCACTTGCCTACGCGCCCATCAGGCACTTGTTTATGCTCCGTCATGATGTGGAGTGGACACAGTGTGTGACAGACTTACCAGAATGGCTTTCACGCAGAAGGAAGCACAACTCTCTGCTGGCTGATATTTGATTACAGCTAATAATAGAAAAGGGCAGCTGCCGTTTCATTGATCTGTCATCAGTGCCCTATTTCTGAGTCCAGTTCTTTTGTATATTGTGCTAAACTATCCAATAATACTAACACAGAATACAAACAAAATTTTGTGCTTGGTGAGCATTTTCAAACATCAATCCTCATTTGTTATAATTAGCCATTGTTTCAGACTACTCCTTTTGTGTTTGAACAAAGCTGCTTTGGGCCAGAGAATCCTAAATCTGGTTGTGTGTGTGTGTGTGTGTGTGTGTGTGTAGCCAAGCTGTTTGGGTCAAACAGGAGAGCACTAATAAGAGATGAGGGGATACCGTGATGGAAGGAAGTAGCTCAGCTTGTTTGTCTTCCAGGCTTTTGTTTGTTTTCCTGTCCGACAAATCTATTTAGGAGGCCATCTGAGGTCTGCTGGTGAAAATTAGCTATAAGCAGAGCTTGTAATACAGTTATTGACAATTACTCACTAATGTGCTTATTGAGAAGTTGGTTACAGCCAAATGAGGGATTGATGTACTTCACCCATCAGCAGTGACGGAGCTGGCTGAGCTGTACAAGGGGTATTGTTTTGGATGCAGTATATGTATTGTAGGCTGGATAGATGTTGTATGGGAGTGCTCCTGCATCTTGATTCTCTTGCATCTGTGTGAATGTTCATGTGCCATGTAATGGCAGAATGCTGATCTGCATTATTTCCCTGCAGGTACCCAGATGCCTAAGGTGACGTCAGTATTCAGTGTCAGTTGATGAGGTTGGCAGTTTTGCATACAAGAGAGATTAATCCCCCCAACCCCCACCTCCCCAAAAACATTTGACAAAACCATTGCTTGTGGAGCATCAGATTATATATATAGCTATAAAGGCATAAGTAGGTTTGTTTATGATGGAACTGTAAAGCATGTTTAGCCTCACTGGTGTCAACGAAACACCCAGGCTGCTGCGTCATTCGCAGCCTTTGTATGAGACAGAGGCAGGGGGAGAGTGAGACAGACACAAGGAGAGACAGACGGTACAGCTGTTCTATTGAATCTCAATTGTCAATAGAGATCAAGGGGTTTTTTCCCCCAAAGAAATTCTGATGCAATAACACTAATGTTCACTACTGTGTAATTTTCCAGTCCAGCAAACTAAGGAATTAGATTGAAATAGAGGTTCAACAATAGCTTCAGAAATAGGGGAAACATACAGGTGAGGGATAAGGAGACAAGGGATGTGTAAGAGAAGGGGGGAGAGGTGGTGGTGTAGGTGAGTTTAGAGGATGGATGCTGATGGGTTGTAGATGAGAGACAGCAGGAGGTGCAATGCTCTTGTTTCCTGGGGGATGGTGTTAAATGTAGTTAGAGAACATAGACAAGGACAGTGCTGATCTTTATTATGCGACTGCAACAACTCTTCTGTTACTGGTTATGTGCAGACTTGAACTTCCTTTCTATTGGAAAACAATTAAGGTGGTGCTGATCTGAATGTAAGTATAGTCAAGGTCACCAGGAGATGCATGGACAAAAAAATAAATAATGTGATAGGTAGTTTAATGGGGCATGAAATTGGGGAAATACCTTTTAAGATCAGCATTCAGAGGTTGGTATTGTAAGCATAGTTTTCACCCCATAGTCTGCTCTGTTCCAGTAAAGAGCTGTGTTTCATAGTAGCTGTTCTATTGGCTGGAGCTGTTAAGGGGCAGAGCCATAGGCTGGTGGGCAGGAAGGGGCTGGCTTTGAGGTGGTGGTAGTGGTGGTGTGGGTGACGTGTTTCTGCCAGATAGTTGGACTAGACACTCTTCTGCTTCCTGCCTGCCTCGCTTGCTTGCTCTGTTGCTGAGAGAGAGAGAGAGAGACATCGAGAGAAAATCCCTGTCTAGGCATGGACCTCCGGCTGCAGCACTCGGCAGCTCGTGAGAAATGACAACATTTCACATGGTCATTAACTCCAGTTGCTGAGGCTGAAGGGAGCGCTGTACTGGAGCTCAGTGTCGCAGAAGCACTGGGTGCCTCCTACATTTGGGACAGCAGACAGAGAGGCACACACCAGAACTTCAGGACCCAGTCAAACAAGGTGGGATAGAACTGTCATATTGGCTGGTGCTTTTTGTGTATGTGTTTTTTTGTTTTTTTTATTACGGGTTTTTTCAGGAGTTTTGCTGCAGTGTGCTGCATACTAGTCTGGGTGTGAAGGGAAGAATGTTTTATCTGTGCAAGGGACAGAATGTGTGGCGGAGGGAAAAATACAGACAGTGGGATAAACAGACTGGAGCACTGGCAGCTTGCAGCCATGCACTAACTGTCCTTATTGCAGTTTCTGACATTGTAATGGACTTTGTCTTTCAACTCCTAAGGGAGAGGCTTTATCACAGCAGTTTACTTGCTTCATCCTCAGAGTTTGTTTTTTTTTTTTTTTGCCACATGGGGAACATATTTTTCACTCTCTAGAGCAAAACATGTTATGTTTGTCTTTCAACTCCTAAGGGAGAGGCTTTATCACAGCAGTTTACTTGCTTCATCCTCAGAGTTTGTTTTTTTTTTTTTGCCACATGGGGAACATATTTTTCACTCTCTAGAGAAAAACCTGTTATGTGGCATCTGCCCTGTTGCTTTGTCTGGTTCCCACAGAGATTTTCCTTGCAATTCTTGGTGGGCAAATTTTCCATATAACATGTTCTAGCTACAGGCAAAGGGTCAAGTTTTTGACGCAAATAGCTGATGACCTGAATAAGCTGGAACTTCACAGTTATAATAAGGCCCACATCATAATTAACCTTCCGAGTTAGATGGGGCATGGGTGATGTGTCCCTAGCTTTCCACTGTCTATGTGGATTTAGCTTTATGCTTGACACTGGGTCTGGCACGGTCAAGCAATGGACATCACTGCCTGCATGGAAAAGGCCAGGGTGGTGTCATACATCTGGCTGTGGATCAAGGGGAAGTGGGTGTTTTCTAAAATGGAACATCAGTTCAGCCCTTCCTGTTAAGAAAAGAAAGGGACAAGTCTCAAACAAGCACCAAATACTTCACTGCAAGACCCTGACAACCAGAAACCCCCTTTCTCCAAAATTAACTCTCATGTAAATTGTACCTCGAGATGGTATTAAAAGGATTTAGTGATTGGTAGCTTTTCAAACATCTTCTGCTTGAAAGAGGGAGTTTGATTGACTGGGACACGGTGGTGAGTTTGCTGAATCATTCAGCTCTTGTGTTTTCAGGTGCTACAATTTCAAGACTTAAGATTTCTATTCATTTGATGTGTCATACTTAATATTCTGTTGTATATACTAATCAGGCATCTTCTAGCTTTGATTTTAGAATATACAGTATAAATTATTAGTGGAACTTGTCGCAACAGTTGCAGTCTGGCAGAGACCTTCAACAATTTTCACTTTGGACAGTAAGCTTGGCTATCATGTTTACTTGAACACTATTCACCTCTGGCTGCCAGCTGTACTGTAATTAGCTGATGACTTGTCTGAGTCCTGTGGCTAAATATGGAGTAGAGTACTTACACAGTCCCATATCATTAGCAGAGTTGTTCAGGTCACCGTGATTTAGCTAAGGCTATTATGATATAGGGCACACCTATCTGCTGACTCTGTCAAATGCTTTTGCTTTGCCTCTGAATAGTAGCTTAGTTCTAGTATAGTCTCTGCTGAGCTCACTCACCTGTGCTTATTTTCTAAGCATCATACAGCATCATCCATAGTATTAAAAATGAATAGGCTGCAGGGTCTAGCCCTGCTCTGATCCTCTCTGGAAGATGCAGGGGAACATTTTGCCTGCAAACAAGCTGATGATATCTAACTGAAAGCCACAAGTTTGTTAGGGATGGAGGGACATTTTGATGAAACATGCACTCTGCAAGGCTCACTCGTTTTCCATTATTCACTGGAAACGGAACATTTTCTGACAGTATTTTCCCTGTACAGTGAGGCCTTCTCTTCACAGCCTTGAAAAACATTGACCATTTGTTCCTCTTGGCCATGCAAATCACCATCCAACTGCAGTTTGCCAGCATAAAATGGTAATAAATGTAAATGCAGCCACTCAGGTACCCTGCTCATGGGCTTGTCTGTAACAGTCATTTGTATTTCTACTTTATTTTGCTGTCAGTGCCACAGTAAACGTCACAAGGCTTATAACTCATAGAAACCAGGTGGCTTATCATCTCTGCTAAACAAATATAAGCAGCTAAGATAAAGTGCACTGCACAGCCAGAGTGCACAGATACCAGACTAATGGTTTACATATGTGGTATTTAGAGGTCAAGCCAATGACTTTCACTTGAGATGCCCTAGTCCCGCTAACTCTCATTCAATTAAGCAGACTGACCACGATAAGACCTTAGCTGGCCTTAGTAAGTGTCCATAATCCATAAAGTCTAGCAGTGTCATGCTTTTCTTCATTTCTCTGTCCTACTCTATCAGGTCACCCTCTATGTCTGCACAGAAGGGACAAAGCCTTCTAGCTGGACCTCAGCAATTAAACATGAATGGGATTTAACAGTATACACTGATGTGCAAGATTCGGCTGTTAAGGGCTGAGTCAAAATGTATTCTTGTATTGCTGAAAACATAAAGGTTGGTATTATCAGGATTAAAGATTTAGTTGCCCAAGTGAACAGCCACATGCTCCACAAGGCATCTAGTTTCAAAATTATGGTACCCGTTTCATTACAGTACCTTGAAACACAATATATTCCTATGTTGTCAGAGCCAGATTATTAGACTAGCCCTTCACTCGGGCTCTAATGCTAATCTAATGCTAATCTTCACTATTTCTATTCGTGGAAGGACTCAAAGCTGCAGAAACAGAGCCTAGTTCAGCCGTGAGGGTGTATGGTGTTCCTACCTACCTGCCAACGTCCTGTCTTTCAGTCCCTTCATATCAGTAGCATTGTCCTCGGAGAGTGACTGCTAAGCTTAGTGCAAATTAAGCCAGGCTGCATGTAGGTGTAATGCACTAGAAGAGGTACAGTATGCTGTCCAAGGACACGTCAAGCCAGACGAAACCAAAATTGCATGCACTGCCTCTAAACTCAATTATAGTTTTCCAAAGCAGTCATTACTGCAAAGCAATTTTCTTCTACTGAGTGTTTGAGTTCATCATGCTCTTAAGATGGGATGTTGTTATTGTACATGAGAGAGGTAATAGTTTTCCCCCCAGGACTGCAGTTTGCTTTCCAGCAGGGGTTGTGGTGTGTTTCAAAAATGTAAGAGAGCTCGGCTGTCCCTGCTAAAGAGAGGCTAACATTAACCGATGTGCTTCAGTTGTGCCATTTTACCAACAGATATCCATGTCATTAAAACTAGTTTGCTGAAGCACAGCAAACAAAAGCAAATTATAAATTGTTTAGTTGTCCCTTAAGCATTTGGTTTATAAATGAATGATGTCACAATGGCCTGCTGCTTTTGGGGGAAACACCATTTTGTGTTTATACTGTGATGATTAATTGAAATGATGCATTGATGACCAAAATTGTTATTGATTGGAGCTTAGTTTTGAAGCTGATTTTGTGGATGGCAGCACACAAAATACTGAAAAAATATTGGCTTGGGCAGCAGTTATGTTCCATGTGCACATTGCACTAATATACTGTGGTCTATGGAAACAAACATACAGCCATGTTCATGCATGTATTTTATCGTACACCCACATGAGGGTCCTTTTGTTTTTCGGGCCTTATCATTTGTTTTGAATATCTTTCATGAGAAACACAGTTAGGATGTTGCCTGCTGAGTCCCCTGTGGGCTTTCCAGTTGACCCCTACCAACCCTTATCCGCACTATCGGGCTACTCGATGTTATGAACGCTTTCAGTGCTCTAAACCTCCGCTTTCTCCACAAAAATAAAAATGACTGATGGCTGTTTCCTGGTCATTCTACAGAGAAATCGCAATCGTTATCCTTCACACATTCTGACAAAGTAGGTTAGCTTGAGTACAGACTTCTTATGGCTTCTAAAAATAAGGAGGGATTAATTGTTAAAGGTCAGATCTGACATGATTCTTACCTGACTGTCCCCTCTGCAGCAACTGGCTCTCTCCTTGGGGAGATGGTGTGAAATTAAACCCTGCCTTGGAGAGTGGAGCCTTGGCGTCAGTATGATCGGCGAGGAAGCTTCTCATCTCATTTCACATGATCAGCACTAAAGTGGGACAATATGATTAGCTAGACAATGGTTTGTATTCATAGGCTTGGAACAGTATAGAGCTGGTGGGCGACTTCAAGGGGAGGCGTCTTTCTGCCACTAGGCGTCTATGGAAAGTGAACCTGTCAACAAAAGAGAACAGGCGCAGTCTGTAAGATTTTGGCCATTTATCCTTTATCCTGAAGCCATTTTTGAGTTTCTCTCATCTTAGATTTCAAACAAAACTACAAACAGAATCCAGAAATCTTCAGGTTCAGCTAACAGAACAAAATGAAAAATGATGTCTACCTCTACAGGACAGCTGGCCAAAAATACTGTGACAAAACCAGAATGACAATGCACCTGTATGACAGCTAAGTGTTTCAGCATGTAAAGGGAATTTGTAAAGGGATTTCTTCTTCTCTTAGCACAGTAGCATAGATAGCTTGAGCACAAGTCTCAGCTTGCCTTTACTAACACCAAGTGGAACTTGTCATGTGCCTTTAGAGATTATTGAAGATACTGTTTTCATTGTATTTTAAATTTTCTTGGTGTTTGCTCCTTGTCCGTTTTCTATAGATATGTTTATATGCTAAAACTGTATAAATCTTGACTCTTATAACCAGAGCTGTTACAACACTTCTCTTTCTCCTCCCTCAGTCTGGCGTTCTCAACCCCCTTTCCCACCCCCAGTTAGCAGAAAAACATTTCCAGATGTGCCATGAAAAGAGCTCCCTGTGCAGTAGCTTTACAGTTGGTTTTGTAGCCTCAGGCTAAGACACAGATACACACATTCCACCTGTGAATGTAAATTGTCAGGCTGCTGTCAATGAGCTGATATCCAATTTGAATGGTGGGAGACCAGTGAATATTGCAGGACACTGGGCAGTGTCATAATCGTGTCTGGCACTGGCATATGCATCTGTCTCGGTCTCTCTCTGGCTGCTGGACGGATGCCCAGAATAGTGCTGTGCTGCGCGTTTTTTTATTGGCTGCACCATCCTGCTGTGCATGGCTCTACAGGGCGGGTTGGACTCTGGGGCTGTTTTCTATCTCTGCTCTGACTTAGTGCTCTTGTCCACTGTCTCATAACACAGAGGCTTTTGCCATTCACTGCTTTGTGTGCGATATGTTGGCAATCCATTGGGCATGTAGTAACCCCATCCTGTGGTCCACAGCAGTGAATGGGAGGCTTAAACTCAAGTGGATTCTGATTAACCTCACAACTGCCTTTTCTTTGGCTTATCAGCACATACTATTTAGAGTTAACACTCCTCTGAGGCATACACAAACACTGTTAATGCCTGTTGAAGCCTGTTATATACATAAATATTTGGCCATCATATTTAGTGAGCCTTTTTCTCCCAGTGAAAATAACCTCATTGTGTTTGTTTCTTGTCTCTTTTCTCTCTCCTTCTCTCTTCCAATTCAGATCATTGACAGACAGTGCCTTGCGAGAGAGCATACCTACTTGAAGATTCCTTGGCATTTCTGGAGAGGTTCACATTTTTCCATCTGGAGTTGTGATCGGATATAGCTCAGCCACCCCTAAGCCCTTGGTTTGTCTTTACCTGTGCACAGTGTGAAGAAACATCTGGCCAATGTGTCAGAGCTCAGAGAGAGTAGCTCCTGAAGACTTTTAAATAATAGAAAGCAACTTTTTGTTGTCTTAAAGTGTGCCATTGCACCTCAAAATAGCACCAATTCTGCTCCTCAAAATCTACCCTTTCACAGATATCATCACTCACACAGAAGACATTTTGAGGACGTCGGCACAACCAGCAGAGCTTGTCTCTGAGCATGTCCCCTCTGCCTTGTCAGAGGTCTGCACCTGAGACTTACTGATTGATGAACAATTAGCTGTTTAATCGACAAACTCTACAATAGCAGTGCAGTCTCATGCTCCGGTCACAGAGACTTTGCCACTCTATTACCTCCACTTTCCTGTCTGCAAGGACAAACCTCATCCACTGACCTGAAGCAGATCATTTATAGCTACTTGTTCCATCAGTTTTAGTTGTTGTGTGTTTTGTTTTTATAGTGGAATACTCTGAAGCACCTCCTGCTTAAACCAAGTGGCTCCACTCCACTCCAGCTCCACAGCTAGCGCTACTGACATGGCTCTAAACATTGCCTCGATACGAGACACAAAATGGCTGACCCTGGAAGTGTGCCGGCAGTTTCAGAGAGGGACTTGTTCACGCAGCGATGAGGAATGCAAATTTGCCCACCCACCCAAAAGCTGCCAGGTGGAGAACGGGAGGGTGATCGCCTGTTTTGACTCGTTAAAGGTAAGGGCTTTTATAAAGTCGGATAATGGCTGTGTTGTGTTAATTTGCTTTCTGCCATACAGCTACCACTACAGAAATCATCAGTCTTTCTACTTGTTAGGTTTTGTTCTTTACACAGCCTCATGGACCTGTCATATGATGTTAAGTATATATGAATAATTGGGTTATATCTCTACAGTGTAACACCTGACATAAAGTGTTGCAGCTTTATTGGTGGGTGTAAATTATCTGCTGAAATTACAAACCCCAATTCCAATGAAGTTGGGACACTGTGTAAAACATAAATAAACACAGAATACAATGACTTACAAATCCTTTTTGACCCATATTTAATTGAATACACCAAAGAGACAAGATATTTAATGTTCAAACTAATAAACCTTGCAAATATTCACTCATTTTGAATTTGATCCCTGCAACACATTCCAAAAGAGCTGGGGCAGGGGCAACAAAGACTGGGAAAATTGAGGAATGCTCAAAAAACACCTGTTTGAAACATTCCACAAGTGAACAAGTGTATTGGAAACAGGTGAGTGTCATGATTGCGTATAAAAGGAGCATCCCAAAAGGCTCAGTCATTCACAAGCAAGGATGGGGCGCTGTTCACCACTTTGTGAACGGTGTGAGCAAATAGTCTTAACAGTTTAAAACAACGTTTCTCAACGTACAGTTGCAAGGAGTTTAGGTATTTCATCATCTGCAGTCCATAATATCATGAAAAGATTCAGAGAATCCAGAGAAATCTCTGCACGTAAGCAGCAAGGCCACTGTGTTTTACCACTGTGTTACATCACCTTTCCTTTTAACAACACTTAAGCGTTTGGGAACTGAGGACACTAATTGTTGAAGCTTTGTAGGTGGAATTGTTTCCCATTCTTGCTTGATGTACAACTTCAGTTGCTCAACAGTCCGGGGTCTGCGTTGTCGTATTTTGCACTTCATAATGCTCCACACATTTTCAATGGGAGACAGGTCTGGACTGCATTGTATTCTGTTTTTATTTACACTTTACACAATGTCCCAACATCAATGGAATTGGTTTTTGTACCATACATGTCAGGCCTACATACTGTGCTGCAGTTAGCAGACCAGTCTGCCCCATGAAGGTATGTTGTCATGTTCACTGTCACCACAGGTGTGTGTGTGTTTGGATTTGTATACAGTAGTCTCTTCTGATGCCTAATATCTGATTGTCTTAAGTCATTCTAGGCATGTCAGCTGTCACACCTAAACAGTCAAAGCATTTTATGTTTCTTCAGTATGTGGTCATTTATGTCAACTTCAGATGAGTATATTAATTTTTAATGGACAGAGCTGTTATTGCCTACAGTTGGTTGATATGAGGCCTTAAAGTCAATTTGAAGTTTTTGTGCCTTTAATAAAGGCTTGTAGTTTATCTGTTGAACCCTCCTTACTCTGACATTTGTTGTTGTTACACTTGTTATGTTCACTACACTTACTTTTAAACATTTGCTTCTTTGGAGCAGTATCTTAAATTAGCTTAACACCAGAGACTTCAGAAGTCTCCCAAATTATAACGAGGTCACTTCCAGCCCCCATATGCTGCACATAAATTGACTGCATCTAAGAGTAATCTATTATTTTCAAGTTGTGTGTGTGTCTGTCTATTTGCAGGGTGGGGGTGGGGGTAGGTGTGACACTGATAAATAGGCAAAGAAACTAGAGCAGGACACTGGAACAGTGAGGAGTCTTGTCTTCTTTAAAGTATACACTGCAGCTGCATTTCACATGTACACCAGTGCAGTGTGGGTAGAGTGTATTTGATGTTTTTTGTGTGTTTTTGACAGTTTGTATATGAGGTCAGTGCATGAAAAACAGACTAGATTAATACCCTGTTAATATCAAGCATTAAAAGTGATGTTTTCCAGGGGGCATCCTTCCTGAAACAAATGGCAAGCTTTCCTGAGTGTGTGAAAGCCCTCTTCTACAAGTGTCATGGTCAGATATTTATTTGATGCTATGAAAACAAGCTGCATTTAGCTTAGCTCATGGCAAGGCAAGTATTGCTTTCAGTCAGCAATTGACTGTTTAGCTTAGCTCATGGCAAGGCTTGCTGAAGTATTGCTTTCAGTCAGCAATTGACTAACATTCCTTCTCAGCAGCCAGATTTTGTGAGATGATACAGTATGCTGTTATAGTTTAATTTTGACTCCAATAAGGATTGATTTGTTGTTGCACCATGCAAGGGAAGGCCTGATATGGATCCTCTGCAGATGACACAATTTTTCTGGTCCTTGGAATCTCCACCCAGTCAACCCTTACTGGGGAAGCTAAACAAGCACTCATACTTGTACCACCTTTCATTTAGACTAATCTTAGTGACATTTCCTCTACTCTACAAATAGTGGTGCTGAGGCCAGTCCACTGGCAGTTCATGCATCATCTGTACAGGATGAAAAAATAAGCCTGTGTAAGCAGTGTGAATCCAGTTCTCTTCTCAAAGGCTGCTGTACTACCTAGAAGATCTTGAGGCTACTCATGCTTGTAACCCCTTCTTTTCAGAGACCATGACTTGTACCTCTTACTATGAGGAATATTCTCACTATTTCTCTCAAAAGCCTCCTGTCATCATTGATGTAATCATCAAAACAATGTTTTCAGGATTCTAGGCTGGGGGCTGTAGGTTTGTTCCTGTAGGTCTGTTTGAGACTCCATCTGTCTCCTCAAGGGAAACTTGACCATAGAGGCTGAAAAGGGTCATCTTCCGTGTTTGACACAAGGAGTTCTGGCTCTGTTAAGCATTTGAAAAAGAGGCAATTGCTAGACTCTTGGGCATCAACATGGCAACTTCATGGCATCACATCATCCGTCTCATCTCTTCAGCTGGTGCTCGGTGCTTGATTTAATTTATGTACTTATCACAAACAGAATGTCAGACTCGGTGTGTAACACTGCCGATAAGCGAGGGTGAACTCAATTATAGAGCCAGACGAGTGAAAGTAAAACACTGTCTCTTTAATAAGAGCACTGACAACCAAACACATGGATAACATGAAGCAGGATTCAGAACACTCTCAGGTCGATAATACAGTCCAGGGTCAGATCCAGCAAACTTACAGACAAGGTTTCCACAAAAGCACGGTCAAAAGAAGGAAGTCCAAGGTCGATACACAGAAAACACTATCTGAAATCAGGAGGGCTAGGCAATACTCGGTGGTCACAAGGTAATCCAGGGTCAGAGCTAGAATCACAGGTATAGGAAAAATCCTGGAAAGTCTGAACAGGAGATAGAACAATCTGGCTGCTTCTTGGTGTGGGGAAGCTGCCTATATGCTGTTGTAACAGGTGTGAGTAATGTGAAGCAGGTGAAACAAGTGTGGGTGATGAGATAAAGTTCTCAGGAGTCAGCGTGACCTGGGGACAGGAAGTAGTGTCAAAATAAAAGCATGAGACCGAAAGCAGGCGGGACGGAATCATGACACAGAAGGCCTTTGACCCAAGCCCTGCTTACTATAGGTTGCTCGTATTATTATTCAGTTCTGGGTAAGCCCATCAGCTAAAAGCCTAATGCAGCTAAAGTGTCAAATGCACAGACAGATCTGTGTCTAACTGCCACCTCCCACCCCACCCCCTTCACAATACAACCCAGTGACAGAATGAGAATACAGGATTCTCTGTACTTTTAACTCTAAGTCGCCCCCTCATTCACAAAGACTTTCCTCGTGACAGCTAAGGGAATGAATGCTTTATTATGCACTAGGAAATGTGTTTCGCTCCACGGCAGGCTGATTTCCACCCCATTACGCTCGTATCATCTTCCAGGGTCTTCTCATCTGATAGGGTTATCATGCCAGGGTTGTGTGCTGCCAGGTGTGACTTGGCCAGTGATCAGAAGGGTCCTTTATATAAACATGTGAAAGGTATGGCTCAGGAGATGAGTAGAGTAGGAGGTGTAAGTCGGTTGTTGCACTTGTCAGAAAGCAGTAGGCAAGCATGCCAACTCAGTGGAGAGTTTGACTGCTCTAGTTGTTGTTTTCAGACTGAGCTGGTAAAAACATCATCTGTGGTGGACAATAGCACCTTGTTGAACTCCCAAATAGCAGAATCTCAAACTTTACTGTGCAGAGCCATGTAATCACCTGCTTCATTTTTTAGCCTTTAATTCACTGAGTGTTTGGGCTGCACAACATTAAAATTCTTTTAGAAGAGATTATGTAAATTACAGGTGTTTGATTCTTGGCAATCCTTTTCTGCAATGCAGCTTTTAAAATGTGTTATTAATTTTACATACAATGCAGTTGGATAACTCAGACAGGCTGCAGTCATTGCTAGTGGCAAGAAGTAGAGATGAGATAAGTGCCCTATGTATTTTTGGGTGTAAATTACTGCATACTTCAGTTATTGCTCCTGTTTGCACATGCAACCCTTGTGAGGCTTTTCAGATTGCTGATAATTCAGTTCTCCAGCAGGCACACACATTAATGCAATAAGGATATGTGTACACTTGAACAAGATCTTTTCATGTGGAGCAGAAGAATGACCCAGGAAGATAACAGTGACCGAAATACATGGTTTTGCATTTTCTGTGAGTAGGATTTCCATGGAATGAATGACAATGAGCAGTCAGTCCTGCTTGGTTTCCTCCTGCTTTCTCCATTATAAAGCTTGCCGTGTCCTGACTCCACCACACTGCTCTCAGCATTTCTGTAGTGTAATGTCTAGGGGACTATTTTTGTCTTCCTGCTATACTCTGTAGGCTTTAGAAATAGTCTCTCTATGCTACATTCATCATCTCTAAACAGCACAAGCTACTTCATCTCTGTCCACCTAAAGCTGTCTTCACATTTGGTTGGTGGACATGAGATGGCTTAGTTGGAATCATCCATTTCCATGAAGACATGACTTCAGTATTTGACAGTGGTGACCTCAGCAACAGGAGTAATAGTGAGAACAGTTTTTTCACTCAGACACGTTGCATTTCCAGTGTGGTTGTGGAGCCTGACACAGTTCAGCTCTTCTCTTTAAATTCAGAATAGTCC